TCTAAGAGAATACCCCTGAGATTTGTGTGTGCAGTTTTGTTTCACTCGTGGCCTGATGCATTGTTTTCTGTCTTCTGGCTTCTCTCATCTACATCAGCTTAAAAGCAACACATTGATATATTTCGGCAACAAAACCGGAAACAGTTATTTTTTCTCCCCCCCCCCATGCATCCATGTCTGTCGTCACATAACTGTGCTGACGCATTTTGGCTGGAGTCACCGACACGCTCGCTCTCAATTATGCTTATCTCGCCGTTGTGTGAGATATTAAAAATGCATTAGGCTCGAGTGCAATTATGATAGCTCTTCCAGTTTTGAATAATACATATTTAATGGAGAGCAATACAAATGATTGTGAACTGTTTAATTGCATTTTGATTCCCAGAGAGGAGAGAGGGTGGCAGAAAAATCACTGAGCACACTAAAAAGCCACTTGCTCAGGTTCGCCTCCCTGTAAATAAACAGCATGGCACTAGATGCTACTTCATTATGGACACCAGGCTGATTTTTGATGACACTTTCTGGTGGGTTGTGATATTTACAGAGCATCCTTTGCATCTTTTTTTTTTTTTTTTTTAAGTTGCCTTTGCTTGATTCTTACATAAGACTCTGTCTCCTTGCCCCTTTCTTTCTCTCTCTCCCTGTCTCAGTAAATCATTTCCCCAGGGCCAGTCATTAGCATCATCTGAAGTTGCCATGTCTAACATCCCTTTTCTGATGTGCCAATCTGAAACGACAGTATCAGTTTGAGAATCTCACAAGCTCCACTGGGCAAAAAAAACAAAAGGAATGCATTCTTTGTTTTTATAGAGCGCTGTTGACACTGCAAGGACTCTGGTTTTGGGTGTTGGAGCAGGTGATAGTAGCGCTACACACAATTTCACCCCCACTTGCACACACACACACCCTGTCTTGTCGCCACCTCGGCCATCACTCTGAATGATGTCAGTCAAATTAATTGCTGTTCCCTTCCTGTAGCACGCTTGAGGAGGTTTCACAGAGGCAAGGACAGTCCGGGACCCAGAGAAAGCGGACTTTAAAGGACAACTCAGTGTGTGGGTGTGGGTGTGTTTGTGCAACTGAGATACACTTCCCCTCACGGTATTTACCGTTTTTCATATTTCTAATGAGCATAAGCTTAAATTGATCTGTCTTTAGATACTTGCTTGTTTAACGAGATTCATTTATGACTCTGTAATTACTTTATAGTGTTCTTGTGACAAGACAAAGTAACCATTTCACACAAAAATGAATTTAAATTCACATTTTTTATGGCTACCGAGGACCATCTACAGAGATATTTATTAGTTCAACTTGACTTATTCAACTTAGATTTTGATTTATCTTTGAAGATAGAGCGGGCTAATGTGGGAGGGAATGTTTAACTGGGTCTTGCGAAATAAAATCCATCACATGTCCTTGTCGCTGCTCTGCTCTCCTTTCACACTTCAGCTACCTCGATTCCCCTCTCAGTCCCCATTCAAGCATCTGAATAGATTGCAAGTTCCCGTGACAGGTGCATCCTTGATTCAAAAATTTACTGAACCAGTGAGAAGTGCAATTTATAATCGCCTTGTTTCATCAACACAATCAAATAAGTAGACAGAGGCAATTGTCTGTGTGCTTGTCAGAGGCGACAAAGGTGTGCATGACCCAAAAATCATATGTAGCTGTTGATGTGTGGGAATTAAAAAAAGGCTTTAATGCAATTAATGAAAGAAACAAAGCCAACAGTGGGGATAAAGACGTGCCACAGTAGTTGCACTATTCTTCCAGGCTGCTCATGACTCCAGATTGAGTGCTTCACTTTGCTAATGATGGCAATACATCACCACACCGAACAGACACACGAACACCAGAGTGAAATTTTGGATGTGAAACCCAGCTGGTCCCCTTAGATTTTTACCCTTTAGACTCTGGTGTGAAATTGGCTTCAGGAAGTTTGTTACGTGGAGGTCAAAGCTGCACAGCCAGTCACACAAACACCACACAGCGGATTTCATGAAAATGGACACACACGTTTATTAACCTGTGCTTTGAGATGTTTCCACATGGCTGAAGCAGACACCGCACAACTGTTTCTTCTGATGGACTACACAGTTATGAATGCAACATAACATGTACGCATTAGTCAGACCTACACAAAAACCTGCAGATTCTAAAGTAAAGACTTTTACACACACCTACAACTTTAGTTTGTGTCAGTAATGCTCCATCGTGCTAACCAAACTGCTGATGATGCATCCAGTTCGTCAACCTGGCAATGTTGTAAAGTCCTGGGTCTTATTCTCATAGTTTGGGCCATTATTCCTGTCAGTCATAAATTATCTTTCCAAGAAATGGTTTACAAGGTCGATACCGCTCTCATATCTGTCTGTTAAATATGGAGGCCAAAAGAGGGTTAGCTTAGCTTAGCATAAATTATATATCTAAAAAAGTTTCTGATTCCCATATTTTTTTCTAACTTATCTGATTTAAAGTGCAAAAATGAACTATGGATGTATACCAAATTGTATGTAGGACTGCTCACAGTTCTTGAATGGCCACTTGGAGCTGGATCCAAAAGCGAGTCAATCCCCATAAACCACCATGTTAAAAATGTGTAACTTTACAGTAGAAATACAGCAAATTTCTTCATTCGTGAAAACTGAAATTGAAATAACTTGAAATTGTATTAAGACTTAAAGTTATGCATAATTAAGGGCGTGGCCTCTTTGAGTGACAATTAGCTGCCGTTATAGGACAGAACATGGTACGGAGATGTTTGCATGGCCAGCTGAGCCTCAAAACTGCTGTTCAGGACACCTGTGGGTGACGTCAACGGATGGTTCATCCATCTTTATATACAGTCTATGGACTGGGTGGAGTCTTGCTGTCCCTGTAGGGTACTCAAACATGGCTAAAGGAAGAGCTGAATGGTTTAATTCTGATTTTTCTGACAGATATTGCAATTTGACTCCGCTTCAGTCAACTTCAGTTGGAGGAGGAGGTTCAAGGAGAACAATATCAATTTCATGACTGTACAAAATAGTATCAGTTGGTCAATGGGCAACAATAAACAACCTTTAATCTGCTCAGATTAAATAAAACTAAATTACAGCAATTGCTAATTGCATTAGATTTGAAATCAATTAACTGTTCAGCTGATAGGCATATTTTCCAAATGCAGGTTTGTTTGTTTATTTATTTATTTTTAATCTGGGATCACTCCTCTAAAAACAAAAAGGCTTAGTCAGCCTTATATGGCAAAAGAAAAGCTACTTAGCCTGTAAAAAACTTAAAAGTGGTAAAATGATGACACAAAAAAACACCCATCATACACTTTAGGTGTGTGTGCACTACTGGGCTGTCTGTCTTTATTTGAAAGTCAACCTATAGTACATTCGAAGATGGGAAGTTATTTAACCAGATCTGTGATTATTTAAAAGTTTACAGTCTAAATGCACAACATAAAATGATTTCAGACATTCATAAAATGCACTCTTCATCTAATTCATTACAAATTATGTTGTGCTCCATAAACGAAGTTACAGTTATAATAATGGATAACAGTAAAGCTGTTCCCTCACTTTGTTAAACACATTACAGCTGCATTAGTCGACTTTTCAAGGGAAGCAGCAGAACTATTGAATGAACTGAACATTTGTTCTACAATATAAGATGTCTTTTGGATTCATTCAAACAAATCACATTCTAGTTCTTTCTCTTTCTAGCCTACAGTTTGAGTGCCTAGCATGGTGCATGTTAAACAGTTTTGTTGTGCAATTAGGGAATAGTCGTGACATTTTAATGTGTGCTTTCACATTTGCCTCCCAACAAAGTGGCTGGTTTACAACCTGCCTGATCGTCTGGCAGCTTCTGTTTCATCCCCTGTTGGGTCTGATTTAGCAGTTATTTAGTAATTCAGCAGAGTGTGGAAATATCACAGCCAAACCTATAAGAATAAGACCCAAGTTTATATAGAAAACATCCTTAAATACTTCAGTGTAAAGAGCAGCTTGACTCAAACATATTTCAATAGTTTATTTTTCTGTTTGATGTCCAGATCAAGTCACACAAGACCTCCGTTTGAGTCTTTGCCTAAAAGAGGTCATCAGCTGTTGTTCAGGAAAAATGCAGGACACACGAGGTAATATGAGACACTCATCCATAAAACACTTTCAAGCAGTGAACAAATAATTTATGAGGTGCCTGTTGAGTAAATTTGGTTTAAAGTTGTAACGATTTGACATTTGGATGATACATAAATAACATTTATGAACCCATGTCAGCAGAGGGACAATCTGCACTTTGAAAAGCTGCATTTTTCATGTCTGCTTTACATTTTCATGAGTCTCCACTTCTGCGAGCTTTCTTTTCAAACATTTATATATTAAATCAAATCTGTTTTCATTCTGGCTGTAATATTAAGTCACTTGTGGATGTATTTTACCTGTACCTTCGCTCAACGGGATTTGGTTTGACGCTTTACCGCAGGGGTCCTTGCAGAGCCCGGGATCTTAATGTAATGAGTGTTTCCGTGTGCCGTCATGTAATTTGTTGTAGTGCTGGGTTCTACAGTTACACTGTATTTGGAGGAGCATGTGTTTGCTTTTGTGTATCTGCGTATGGTGCTGTTGAAGAGAGCAGTGTGTGACACCATTAGGCTGCCCGGTCGTGGGATTATCTATTCCAGGAGTGTGTCAGCACCGCTGCTCTCCCCCCAGATCTCAGGCATAACAGCGGGGGAGTCTTAATCCCAAATCCCCTCTCCTTTTTCAGGAGCTTCTGTCATCCGAAGACAGCGTAGCAACCACGGTGAGCACAGACAGTCTGCACAATAGGCAGACCACTCACCTAATCCAAACGTGGGCACATACAAGGTCACTGTATCGCTCAGTCAATCTAAGAGTTCGCACAGCGAGCGGCGTCCTCATTTGAAGTCGATGAGACCGGCTACAACAGGAACTCCTAGACTCTTAGAATTAAGGGATGAGTCAGTGCTGCGAGAGAGTCGTGAGTCATTTCTTGTTTAGACTGGCCGTCTCTATGTTGTGGCCTCCTGGATGCAGTCTCTGGCAGCCCAGCAGGATGGAGAAGGCCTTGCGGAAATCTGCATTGAAGGCATAGATGATGGGGTTGAGGGAGGAATTAGCCCAGCCGAACCACACGAACACGTCAAACGTGGTGGGGCTGATGCAGGGGAAAGCCTCCCCTCCGCTCGACTGCTCGCAGAAGGGCACCATGCAGTTGAGGATGAAAAATGGGAGCCAGCAGCACACGAACACCCCCATTATCACCGACAGTGTCTTCAGCACCTTCGTCTCCCTCTTGAACGTCATTTTGAAAGAGCTCTCGGACTCTGCGATGCTGGAGCCTCCCCCCATGCTGTCGTGTCTGTTCTTGGCACTTTCGGCCGCCCGCTCCAGGGCAGAGATCCTCCTGATTTGTCTGTGGGCGATGCGGTAAATCTGGGTGTAGGTGGCCACCATGATCACCACGGGGATGTAGAAGCTTATGAGAGAGGTGGAGATGGCGTAGGTTCTGTTCAAGCTCGAGTCACAATTCTCTAGGCTGCTGTAAGATGTAGCATTTGATCCCAGAGAGACAGATGACCCAGCCAGAGGGGTGTAAGATTTAGTTTGGGCCTTGTGCCAGTTGAGCTGCACCGGGATGAAGGAAATGAGGACAGACAGCGTCCAGGCCACGCTGATCATCACATAGGCCACTCTGGGTGTCATCTTCCTCTCGTAGCGAAACGGGCTGGAGATGGCCCAGTAGCGGTCCAGGCTTATGATGCAAAGGTTCAAAATGGACGCCGTGGAGCACATGATGTCAAAAGCCACCCAGGTGTCACAAAAGGAGCCAAACGGCCAGAACCCGGCGATCTCTGTCACCGCCTTCCACGGCATCACCAAGATGGCAACCAAGAGGTCGGACACGGCCAACGAGATCACGAAAAAGTTGGTCACCTTAGAGCGCAGGTGCCGGAACTTGGTAACGGCTGCGCAGACCAGCGTGTTGCCCAGCAGGGTGGTGAGGATGAGCAGTGAGAGGAAACAGCCAGTAAGGACGCGGCTCGACGGCGCCTCATCCAAAAACCCATTGTCGATGACAGTCGTAAAGTTCACGAGATCCATCCCTGAACATGTGGGGGTTTGGGGGAATTTATGTCATACTGCTACATTTTTATCCACGAGATTAGAATCTAGGAGGCTCCTGTTCTCCATCCTGGAAAAAAATCTCCAGCATTGTATCTTCTGGTAAATGATATGATTGGATGTCCGAGATAAATCCTCTGGGGAGCGGACATTTGGCTCCTGATTTTGTAAATTAGATTTGACATCATTTGAGCTGCAGTGATGAAGGGTTAGTGGTAACGTAATTCCTCCGTGTAATAACTGATTCTCCTCTGTCTGCCCTGTTTGAGTTCAAAATCAGGGTGATTTCAGGAATCCTCTTTCTGCTCAGTGAACTCACCAGCAAGCCTGTAGATAGTAGAAATGAATTAGTTAATAAACAGTGGAAATATGTCTTCATTTTGATATTGGCTGATATAATAATAATGCTGCATGTTTAAAATATCCCATCTTTATTTTAGTTTTCTTGTTCAGCCTGTGTAATAGCTCTGATTGTAGCTTGAGCATTACAAATTATTCTATTTTAAATACCAAACCTAAAGGGTTACAACTGTCAGAGAGATTTTCTCACGAGGGTTATTATTAGCGCATGACTCTAGTTAAAAGTCACACCTTTCTACGTAAATCGTCTCCTCTGCGGTTTCTTTTTCTTTCCTTCTAAACATGTCTCGTCATTTTCATGTCTTACTCACAGAGACGCGGTCAGCTGTCGCTTGATATCACATGTAAAAACAAACGTCCCATCGCTTCCACACCAACTTCCCCGCGCAAAGTCCATCCAAAGGGCATCCAGTGGCCATATCCAGCCAACTAACGGCGCAAGGGACGGTCCGATTATATCCTCCACGGGCTCCACATCGCTCGCCGTTGTTCTGCAGAAATAACAACACGCCACGGGACTCAAATGTCACTCAGCCATCAGTTGCTCTCGCTGCGTCCTCCTGCAGCCACAGCGCGCGTCTGCGGCCAAACCCCGGAGAGCGCCGGCTCAGTTTCCCACCGTGCGCTCTGACGCTGTCCCATTCAGGAGAAAGTGAAGCAGGAACGAGAGCGTGTGACCGTGGCCACAAATCTCTATGTTATTCTGTATAATGGCTACAATTGGTAACTTGAGGTGAGCGCTCCTTTACGCATAGATTAGAGGTTAAAACAAACAGCAAATTCCATTTAAACTCTGGTGTTCTCACCAGTGCTTTCTCTTAATTTGACCATCTTTGGTGTCGTTTTTAATTAAATTAAGATTCAGGTTGTAAAATCAGAGCAAAACAATCAGGTGAAGTGGGTCGCTGAGGCCACCTAATGGAGAGACACAACAAATGCGTTTGTGCAGGACGCACAGAATGGTGAGAACCTCCTTCAAGGGATTTCAGGAATATACCAGGGACTTTTATGAAAGACAGGTTTACTCCCAGATAAAAAAATAAAAAACGACATCCCCCAGCCGCAGTCATGATTATCTGTTCTGACTGATAAATCCTGCTCGTAAAAATCCAGGCAGTGCGGCTCAGCGAAACCCCTCAGTTGGTATTCTGTTCAAGCTGACATCTTTCATGCGCAGCATCATGGGATGCAGAAACTATCGTGACATGCCAGCTGTCACTTTGCAGTGATGTGAGTGATCCTGACGGGAGGAGAAGAAACAGCTTTTAACCTTTTCCTTCGCAAACATCCACGCTGTTAGACGTTGTTAGACATGGTTTCAAGACATGAAGCTCAATTTCTGATGCAAATACTGGAGAAGTAAGAAAAAACAGTGTGTATTCCTTAAAGTGAGCTTTCTGGGAACAGATTTTTCCACACATGTTATGCTCTGTTTGCTAATCTTTGATCTAAATTGCATTTTAAAATAGGAGGGATTGATTTAGGATGAATGAATATTAGTTTTTTAGTGTTTCTTTATGATTACGTTGTTGATTTAGCTTTTTCTCCTCCTATAGCCACTTTCCTCATCAACTGTTTAAAATTGGATCCAAAACCAGCAAATTAGTCATAATATTGATCTCCCCTCCTCGCTCAGTTCACTATGAGTGTCTCTGTGTGTTTTGTCATCAGTCCACATGTGTGTTTCAGTCTTTAATCATTTCCTGGAGAGCTTCGTCCCTTCATAGCCCCCCGGCTCTGTTTTTGAGGCTCCACTCTGAGTGCTGCCTCGACATGAAAGACTCATCAGCCAGACGGGGTTGAGAGTTGGAAGGTCAGAGCGCAGACAGGCGAATTGTGGTGCACCGTTGGCCTACATTTCAGAGCGTCTCTCTCCACCTGCCTCCCTTTCTGCTAGTTCTCTGTGTTCAAAGGTGCAGCTGCTGCTCTTCTATCTTGTGTCCAATATAGTTCAAAGACTTTCATGTCACACAGAAGCTGCTCCTGCCTGCACTTTTAGTTAAGTTTTCACGCACATGATGTTCATTCAAACCCCTGAATCTTACTTACAATGAGTCACTCGCTCTCCGGGCAGAGTGATGTGACTAAACAGATGCATGAAAATAGATAAGGCATCTGCGGATTATCTTTTCACCATCTCTGTCAAGTCAACCGCTTCGTGCTGCTGTGTTGTGTTCGGCTTTACATGATCTGTGTTTTTTTGGTCTGATGAGGGGTGACAGGTACCCGGCCGCCCACAAAAACACACAGATGCGCTGAGCAAGATGGCTGAGAGCAAGACAGGCTGTTGAAGGAGCCACGAACCTCGAGCGTGCTGCTGTGTGTTCGTGTGAGTCCACGTGTGAGAGTAACACATCCCTGCATATTTAGCAGCCATTCAGATCTGGGCAAGCTGATGCATATCCGTGTGTTTTTTTTTTGTGTCCTGGCATGCAAACATGTCAACTTTTACCACTGTCCTGATGGGTAGAATAGATAAGAGAGGCGCTGATTCACAGCAGCTCTTCTGTTGTTCTGGTTGCACGCTTTGTTTTTTGTCTGTGACGCCACTTCAGTCTAGCTTTCAAAGGAGGTGGGGAACTTCTACGTCCTCTTCTCCTCCCATGCTTCCTCCGCCCCCTCTTCTCTTGAGGTGGCATCACAGTCTATTTCTATCCACACTGTAAACACACTTTTGCATATTTCGACACTCAAAAATTTCACCTCCCATTTTACGTGACATACATTCAGAGCGGCTTTGTCGTTGTCGGGTTTCGGTTCTGCTTTTTAGTTGAGATTTCTGGATGGGACTAATAACAACAGCTTTAGCAGCACAGTTGTTATCTGACTTGTCTAATAGCAAAGAAAATGCTAAAACCAGCTGCAGTACCGTCGTGTTAAGCAGTGATAATAAACCAAGCAGACAAGGCGCTTTTCATTTCTGTATTTTTAGCCTCCTCGTTTCTTCCGTCCTGCTGCCTTTGGCCTGGAAATGAATCTGGGCGAGCTAACTTGAAGCGCGTCTCATTTCCTGTATGTACCTCGAGAAGAGAGGATGCACAGGTGTACGCTTGATGTATGGCTTGCAGAAGTCTTTTTGGCACCAGTGATTTCTAAACGGCAGCAACACAGAGCTGGAATATGCAAACAGTGGCAGGAGCAGGGCTGATAAGTCGATGTATACAAAATACAGGCTTGATCTGTGCGTTCTTGTCACATTCTGCCATGTTGTGATATGAATTAAAATTAAATATATGTACTGTAAAACACCCTGACAGAGATCGTACAGTGGTAGTTTGTAACAAATCAATGAACAGATGATGCCGCTGAGCCGTCTGTATTATTTTATTGATGTCACTTTAAAATGACAGCTCCAAGGCAAGGATTTCTCATTTCGTTAAATTACCTCCTCACCCCTTTTTTGTCATGAGCGTCTTCGAGGACTTGCAAACAGTGAAATATAGCGAAGAGCCAAACTTCTGTATCACTGTGTCTGCGCTTAAGCATTGGAACACTGTGACAACACTGCCACCATGAGGTCAGACTGTACATTACAGCATGGCCAACATAATTTTAACCCAGCCATCCATTATCTATACACCGCGGGGGGCTGGAGTCTATCCCAGCTGACTTACGACGATGGCAGGGGACACCCTGGACAGGTCACCAGTCTATCACAGGGCTACACTTAGAGACAGACAACCAAGCACACTCACACTCACACCTATGGACAAGTTATATCACCAGTTAACCTCAACATGTTTTTGGACTGTGGGAAGGAGCCGGAGAACCCGGAGAGAACCCACGCTGCACGGGGAGAACATGCAAACTCCACGCAGAAAGATCCCAGGTGTCCTCACCGGGTCGCGAACAGGCGACCTTCTAGCTGCGAGACGACGGTGCTAACCACCGAGCCACCTTGCAGCCCAATTTTAACTCAGCATGTTGTTATTTAAAAAAAAAAAAAATTAAACAGGAACTTAGTTAATAGACCAAAAAAGGAAAACCAGGGGACTTGAGTGCTTGATACTACAAAAGACTTGCACAAATATGGCTCTGCTTCACCAGTGATGCATGCATTTTAGGTTTAAACAAAGTGGCAGTTCAATAGATTTATAATTCAAAGCAGTTCCAAAAAATAACAATAAAAAAAATGATCAGTGAGAACAAATGATAAAAGTAGTTAATTTATTTTAAGACAGCAGCACAATACTTTTGGATTGAAATAAAGTTTTTACATTGTGGACATCATGTGTCATACAGTGTCTGTCAAATGAGCGAATACACCAACAGTTCATATAAATAAATACATTTTCATAAAATAGTGAAATAAATAGACATAAATAATTCAAATAAATAAATACATTGCATTTTGGACTGATGCTCAATTTGAAATGTGTAAAAAAATAGATATGTAATACATTCACAAGTCTCAAGTCTGTCATCTCATTTTATATAAAATCTTTAACTGCAACCCCCCCTCCCTTAACTCTCAGTCAGTAACAATTAAAGCTGCCCTGCATGAAACAGAAATCAGGTTTTGTTCTTCATCTTTGGTTGTTGAGCTTCTTGAAGAAAGTATTGTACTTCCAAAAAGTCATTTTGACATTTTGCAGCACTGGTTTCATTTTGCATCTGTC